TGTCCCTGGCAGAAGGTCTGGGCATCAAATTGTTAGTTATTTAATTGGTAATTATTATTGAACTTTTACTGCCAGGAATGTAGGTCTGGGCATCAAATTGTTAGTTATTTACGGTAATTGGTAATTATTATTGAATTTTTACTGCCAGGAATGCGGAGAAGAATGGTTGAATTACTGTTCATATTTTGATATTCTGCATTCTGAGACTATAAAGTATATTTTCAACATTATTTTTCTACAGAAAAGTTTTTCAGAAATGTAGAAGCTTTAAATGAGAAAGCAGCCTCACAAGAAATCATACTCACTGTGCTTTGCTTGTGTATGCTCCCTCTCGCCACTGCACTTCCAGGGTAGGAAGCTTTTTTAAAAAATGGCTTAGAGAAGGAAAGGCTTTGTGGAGAGAGGTGAATGCTGATGCTACAGACACCCCCCCATCTTTACACCAACATCTGCAGGGGGATCCTCCTGGCATTAAACAGTTGAAGCCCTCTAGAGGCAGAGAATAAAAGCCAGTCTGGCAGCCACTGGACAGATTCGAGTCAGCGTTACACATCATGCAGACAGTAATAAATACTTTGAATTTTCCCACTTTTACGTGTGGCAAATCTGACAGTATTTCACCACAGAGTCTCCCTTGTGCTTGGATGTCCTAGTCACCTCCACAAATTTGTTTGTTAAATGATTGCTGCTAAGAAAATCATCAGTGACTGAAACCCGCTAACAAGTCACAACTACAGCAGCCCCATAGGTGGGGGTTTGATGCATCAACTTCTCTGTAAGTTCCATTAATTCAATTAGCCTATTCTAGTTGTAACTTACTACTGATTTCAGCCAGCATTTGCACTTTTTGCATCTCTATTCCCTGGATTTCTCCCACTCAAGCATGTGAATAAATATCTGTCAGCTCAGGTAACACTCCATTCATCTGAATAAGTGGGTTGTATGCCAACTCAAACTTGTTAGTTTTAAGTTGTCACCATTCTCCTTGTTGTTATTACACACAGAGTTGTTCTTTTTGTCCTCTCCCACATCATTGCTGACAAAAAGTTGACAGAATGTAGGGTTTTTTTGCATTTGATGATACCCCTTTCATATGCATATCTTGCACCTTGTGTGTATTTATTGTGTTGTGCTTCTGTCAGGCTGGAAAAGTCTTTCAGTCTAACACAACCACAACAAAATCCAGCTCAGTCCCATTTACTCATGTCAATACTATCAGCCATAGCAAAAAAAAATAATAATGCTAGTTGTGCATCAGATTTACAACAGAAATAATGCTTTGTGAAGAGATGGAAAAGAGATGAAGATGCATTATGAGCACGGTGGACCCATTCTGTCCCCTTTTAAGATTGGTGATATGAGGAAAGAGAAAACTTTTTTTATTTCCCAGTAAATCAATTTTTACTCAGAAACAAGCCCCACAGAGTTAATTCTGTAGCTCTAAGACTCCAAGATGTCAAACTAAGCCATGGAATACTTGGCTACAGAGCACAGAGCTTGGAAGGCCTCTTTCAGGAAGAATTCAGTCCACTCCCAAATGCACCACTCACAACCCATGCTGGTTGTGGGATTTTGAGAGATATACGGGTTTTTTAAGGGACTTTCCCAAGTTCTGGTGTAGGAAGCTTACCAATTCAGACTACTGGTGCTTCTACTTCAGTACTGTTGACACTGACTGATAGCATAGATCCGGAATTTGACGGGCATCTTTCCCAGCCCTACCAGAAGATGCCAGGAATTGGGCCTGGGCTTTCTGCATACCAAGGGTACGCTACTGTGAGCTACCTCGGCAGCTACTCCGGCTGCTTTAAGTCAACATTTTTTGCCAGTGGGAACAGGGTAAGAACAGAGGCCCAAAGAGGCATTTACACAACTGGATGTGAATGGGACACACTTCTTCTATGCAGCTGTCTCTCAAGGATACCCTGGAGGAGGGGGTGAAAACCCCCATTTTCCTCCAAGCTGTCTCTCAAGGATACCCTGGAGGAGGGAGGGGGTGAAAAACCCCATTTTCCTCCATGAGGTCAAGTATGCCATGGAGGTGTGCCAGGCAGAGGGTGTGCCACTGCAGGGATGTTGACTGGCAGCAGCGATCCGGCTCTGGATGTGGATGGTTTCCACCTTCAGGCCAGCCTGGAAGGAGTCGTCACCACACCCTGTGGAGAGGCTAGCGACAGCCATGGTCCTGGTGTGGCTCTGTTCAACCCCCAGTTGAGAAGCCCATTCGGGGAGTCGGGGTTGCAGTGGGTCATGGAGGCAGATCATCTAGGCAGCAGCAGCAGCTCTCCGGCTGCCATGCTGGTGAGCCTCCTGCTGAGCCTCTTGATGCCTCGGCATCATCATGAAGTACCCTGGCTGCCTCCTCTGGTGGCACGCAAAGGTCGACCTGCTGGCCTGTCCACGGGTCCTGCTTGACCACCTCCCAATTCTCTTTGTTGCTGCTTTCCATGAACCGGAACAGAGAAGTCAAGAGCAAGTATCCGTTGAGCCTGAACGGTCTCCTGAGCACCTCCTGACATGATTGCTCCTCTAACTTTGGTTGCAAAATAAAAATTAAAAAACACAACCAAAAGGAAAGGTCAAAGGAAAGGTGAATTCTTTGAGCAACCGTTTAGCAATTGGGAGGCTGAAGTGCCCTGGCTTTTAGTTAGCCTGTTACATTTCATCCCCTCATCTAAATCTAGCTGCAATCCTGACAGTGGCTGGGGCAAGGGCTGAATATGCCCCAACTACAATTTGCTGTTGGGAGCTATCCGTTTAGTCATGCAAAAGCTTTTGGGGTTTTAATGGTAATTCAATTAATTAGTCTTAATGGTAATTCAATCCCATGAGCTTCACAAAAGCCTGGCTCCCAGTGACAGTGGAAACTGCTACAACTGGTTCTGCTGCCTAGAAAGGGACATACACCTGCCAAATAGGAACAGTGGCTTTAAGGAGCCATCATCTAGAATAGTAACTTTTCCAAGGATCTGCTACAACTGGTTCTGCTGCCTAGAAAGAGACACAAGCCTGCTGAATGGGAACAGGGGCTTTAAGGAGCCATCATCCAGAACAGTAACTTTTCCAAGGATTGGCCAGAATTCTATCAGTGTTCATGTAAGGTAACCTGCTGTGGCTAATTGTAGCAAACTGATGAGATGCTGGGATATATCTGTCAGATACCTAACTGCTGTGCCAAGATACATCCTGGCACCTTATCAATTTGCCACAGCAACGTATGCAAACCTTATGCAAACGTTGCTTCTTTCATTACTCTGTCGTTAATGCAAACGTTGCTTCTTTCATTACTCTGTTGTTAGTGCTCTGTTCAAGTCAGAACTGACTTATAGCAACCCTAATGAAGTTTTCAAGGTAAGCGTTTTACCAGTCAGAACTGACTTATAGCAACCCTAATGAACTTTTCAAGGTAAGTGTTTTACTGGTTCCACCCCCTCAGTGTGCTTCCATGGCCTTGCTGTCCAACTGAACCCAGGTCTTCTGAGTCCTAGTCTGTCATTCTATCCATCACACTGGGTACCCTTAAATCTTCTACTGACGGGCATATTTCGCTCCAAATTCAGTATATAGTTTCGCTCTCTCCCATCCCTTTTTGCTTTGGGCACAGTTTTTGATGGAAAAATGCTTCTTTTTATTATTATTATTTTAAAGAAGGTAAATGTCAAATGCTTTCTTCTTTTTCATGAAGGGCTCCTTTTAAGAAAAGAAATAGCAAAAGCTTCACTCCGGGAACATTTTCCTTCTCAACTAAGCGCACACACGAAGCACTTTCCCCTAAGTTAGATGGCCAGGCCCATCCAGCTTAGCCTTGACACGACTGGGGAGGATGTGGCCTGACAGACGTTGCTGGACTATGCTGGCGGGGGCTTGTGGGATTTGTAGTCCATTGACATCTGGAGGGGCAACATGTTCCTCGCCCCTAGACTAGATTGACAGAGAACAGCACTCTGGGGCTTTTAGATGGGAGTCTTCCCCAGCACAGCATGGACATGGTGGCAGTTGAATCCCATCTCTTCGGCATGTAAAAGCAGGTGCTAAGGACTAAGTTATGGCCCTTTCCCAAGAGCTTCTGTTCTACCAGAATTATGGTCTGTATGCTTCTGGTGGATCTGCATCTTTGTACCACCATCCGCCCCGTGAGCAGAAGGACCCGGGTTCATGTTTCGCAGGCACATCCTTCTCAGCCTAGAAGCAACCGTTGGAAAGTCCGGTTGTTTTCATATCCTGCTGGATTAAAAGATGTCTGATCAGATCAGATCCATTTAGCAGAGCCAGTTATGTCTTTCTTAAATGTAAGATCTGGGAAGGAGAACTTCCATGTGTCGAGCAAAGTTATTATGTGCCATCAGGTAACATCCAACATCAAGGGACTCTATAACAGTGCTTAAGGAATGATTTCACTGTTGTCATCCCCCATTGAGTCTCCGTGGCTGAACAGGAATTTGAGGGTGCAGTACAGTGCTATGTCCCACTCTACCCGTTACACCACCCATCATTCTATCCACTAGACCTCACTGGGTCTCGTACGGATGAAAAACAGTTACAGTAGTAAGGGTCAAACATATGAAGAGAACTCTTATTTTCACACCTTCATGCACAGCTAGGAAAAATGCATTTTTTGGGGGGGGCAGGGCTACCACTTGCCATGCTGGCTGCAGGGGAGGGGTTCTGGGAGTGTTTTCCATAAACAAACTCTGGACTGTTTGTGGGCTTCCCAGAAGCAGTGCTTGGACTCTGTGAGAAGCTGGATGACCTTGAGGGTCCTGAGTTTGATCTTCATCCTGCTTGCTTTGTCATTTCCCCAGTCATTGATCAGATCGCTGGAAGGAACAGCAAGGTACAATTGGTCAGAAATGTTTCCTGCATCAGAGCAGCTGAAATGAATGGGATTTTGCACATCTCCCATGAAATTCTGCTGGGCTTGTGCCAGAATGCCTCCTGTTGGGAGGGCACTGAACAATAAGAGCAGCCCTTTCTTGGCACAGAAAACAAGCAGACAATGATGGTCTCCAAGCAGCTGTTTATTATAAGGACACGTTTCAAATCAGATTGCCTTCAACAAATGGGAACAACGCAAGTGCAACGTCTTAAAATTTTTACAAGAAATAGGACATTAGAAACATCATAAATATCTTAAAGAAAATTTCCCACCCCCGAGACTTTTTTGTAAAAAAAAAATACACAATTAATTCTGCCTTGGAAATAGGACCACAAAAGTTACTAGCCTGCAAAAAGAAAGGAACAATGATTTGACTGCTGGGAGCTAGTAGAGGAAGGGGCAGGGAACGCCACCCCTCCCTCCTGTAGCCCGCCTGGTTTCTGTGCTGGATGCAGGGCAGATATTGGGAAAATTACTTTTTTTGAATTACAACTTTGGTAGTCCAAGAGGTCTGGTGCAAAGGAGAAAAGGAGCTCTCTGGCTCTTCCCTGCTACAATGCTCTCTCGTCTACATGGAATTCCTGCTTGCCTGTGGCAGCTGGCGAGTGCATGAATACGTACTAAGCTCAGAAAAATAAACCCTGAGGTGCCTTTTCATCTTCCAGGGTTTGAAACAGGATCCTGAGCTGTTCTTCTTGTTTTCTCCTATCTGTAGCATTTCAACAGCAAATGTTTTGGAAGACCACAGAGAAGCACGCGGAGAGGAACTGATTCATGCTTCCCATTTTTGGTATCCATGTGAACATCCGAGATTCTTGGTAGTGCATTTGGTTTGATCAATAACAATGACCGTACCATAACTGCCCACTGCAAAAAATAACCTTTGCTTTCTGCTTCAGTTTACATTAATTGGCAATGAGACTGAGAAGCTAGAACAGATTATTTTTAAAAAAAGCAATTTACATAAGTTCTCATTTCAGAAATCTTGTTATACAACTCAGCAAGGACATTAGGCTCAGCTCTTCTACTTTCAGGTGTTGCCTAAAAATGAAGAAAGAGCAGAACCCTTCTGGCCTCTGAACAAGCCATTCAACAAATGGGGAAACTGTCGTCAGATCAGACCATCTGAAACCATTTTTGCATATAGATTCCTAGAAATTATTAGTGTCTATCAAATTCAGGAAAACTGACGCCAGTTCTGCAAATAAATTCACAAAAGTTAATATTGCCTAGGTTAACCACATGTAGCACAGAACTGGAGTGGGATGGAGAACCAAGTTTTGTAAATCTCTGTGCATTTGCTTGCCTGGAAGCAATCACCACTCTGGGCAATGACTGCCTTATAACCAATGCAATGAAGCCAGCGTTTAGCAGTACCACCTTCATTAGTGCTAAACCCTGTGCACAAGTGCATACATTTGTTTACCTTAGCTTTTTGGCATTTCCCCCCCCCCCAAAAAAAAGCTGCACAAAAAGAGAGTAAAGAACCAAACACCAGAGCCTAAAAACAATGTATTTTGTTGTTTAGCTCTTCAGTATATAAGCTTTCTCACTAAATCAACACTGTTGAACAAACATGCCCTCAACCCAGCAGGGTTCTAACCCTATGCATAGTAAGTCCTAAGGATTAGTCTCTGCAAAGACCGAGTCACATTGGCTAGTTAAACCTGATCAAGAGAAAAAGGCATGTAAAAAACCTGGAGCAGGAAAATGGTTATATCTGTAGCCAAAAATGGCCAAGCACACCTTGAAACACAGGCTTTAAATTAGGGGTCCCAAACCTTTTTCACCCCGCGGACCGGCTGGGGAAGGCGGGGCACCCCCCAAGATCATGGACATGTGTGAACGATTGGGTGTGAATGAACGTATGTGTGCGCACAAACAATGGTGCAGCGATTATCCACACTCGGGGTCCCAAACCTTTTTCACCCCGCGGACCGGCTGGGGAAGGCGGGGCACCCCCCAAGATCGTGGACATGTGTGAACGATTGAGTGTGAATGAACATGTGTGTGCGCACAAACAGTGGTGCGGCGATTATGCACGCTTGCTCACTCGTGTGCATGCACAAATGACGGTGCGGTGCTCACACGGGCACGCACAGCATGTGCAAATCAGCTGTGCGGGGTGAGTGCGTGCACGGGGGGGGGCAGGAAGTCTTTCTCCATGGCCCGGTTAGGCTCAGGCCACAGACCAGGGATTGGGGACCTCGGCATAGAGGGTCCTATTGTATGTCACAAAGATGTGATCCTTGGAGGCATCCAGTTTGCCAAAAGTTCATGGCAAATGTAACGTAACTGTCATTGTGGCAGAGTGAATTCTGCTGGTAAAGAATCTGCAAAGAAGGAGTGCTGACTGAATTGTCATAGTTTCTAGAAACAGGCATTTAAAAAAAAAAAGGAATGGTGCCATTGTGTAGCTGCGATTTCTATTGATTTTATTCTGTAGATTAGTCAT